AATCTACTTCCGTAGTGATACTGCCTCGGAAACCCAAGGAAGGGTCGCTATGAGTTGGGTCCGATTCGATGGCACATAACAACAACATGCTAGGAAAGTAGAGTAGATAAAATGAATGGAAGAAATAATGAAGTAAAAGAACTGAACAGAAGATTTCAAAGGGTGGCTTGAGAGGAAAATACAGTAAAGTATTATAATGAAATGTGAAAGACCAGGACTTAGAAAACCAAAAAGGAAGAACACACTCAGCACTGCACAAGCTGAAAGAACTGAAGAAAAATTTCTAGCCTCAATTTCTAATATTGAAGGATTCTGTGGGCAAAATATTAAATCATGCAAGAAGCATCAAAAAAAGATGGAAGGATTCTACAGAGTCACTGTACCAGAAAGAATTGGTTAATATTCAGCCATTTCAGGAGGTAGCATAGAATTAAGAACTGAGAGTTTTAAAGGAAGAAGTCCAAGCTGCACTGAAGGCATTGACAAAAAACAAGGCTCCAGGAATTGAAAGAATACCAATGGAGATGTTTCAACAAATGGATGAAGTGCTGGAGGTAATCACCAAGAAATCTGGAAGACAGCTACCTGGCCAACTGATTGGAAAAGATCCGTATTTATGTCCTTCTCAAAGAAAGGTGATCCAACAGAATGTAGAAGTTATCAAACAATATCATTAATATCACACACACAAGTAAAATTTTGCTGAAGATAACTAAAAAATGGTTGCAGCAGTACATGGACAGGGAACTACCAGAAATTCAAGCTGGATTCAGAAGAGAACATGGAACAAGAAATGTCATTGCTGATATCAGATGGATCTTGGCTGAAAGCAGAGAATAGCAGAAAGATGGTCACCTGTTGTGGTGTAGTAAATTAGTTAGTGTGGCTTTTCTATCCATAAATCTTTGTAAACTCCAAGGTGGGATTTTCTATGGGCAACTGAGGAGCTCCTGATTGCTGAAGTTGTCCACCTGGAGTATTTCTGTTGGGAGTGGCACAAAACAATGTTCTGGAAGCTGCCCACTCTCTCTCAGGTGCTTAGAGTTCTGATGCTAT